GAGTGCCCAGCAGCTATGGGAAGAGGAGGCCTGAGGAACAGAGTGGGTGGGAAGCTAAATGAAAGGGGGAAAATATGGGGAGAGGGAACCCAGTGAGAAACTCACAGGCACGTGTCCTCTACCCTGGAAGAGGAAGGACCTATGCACAGCAGCCAGGACAGTGCAGGAGCAACTGCAGGGCTTGAGAGCTTGCATAGTAGCACACAGATAATGTTCCTGCAGTGGGGCCTCCCCAAGAGACCAGAATTCCTCTAGCATTCCCTTGTGGAGCTAGGGTTCTTAGAGGAGAAACATGAAATCTTTCTGCCTTTTTGCTTGTGTCCTTTCAGGCCCTGTGCCATTGGGGAACCCCTGTCTGGCAGTCTGGAGGCTGAGCGCTGCCCCTCTTTGGTGACATCAATCCACTGCTGGGTTTGCCAAGGTTGAGAGGCAGCACCCCTGTCCTCACTGTCATGAGCTTTCAGGAAAGAGAGTCACAGGAATTCACAATGTCTGCCCATGCCAAGGGCTGTGCCTAGCTATGGTTCTAGCTAATTAATTTTCCAGCCTTGCTCCTGGACACTGGTGCCCAAGGACCATGTGCTGCTCTCTTTAATCTGGAAGCTTCTGAGGAAAGCAGAGAGCCTGGTGCCAGCAGGTCTTCACATAGACCATTAGCACCTGAGCCTGGCTTCCCACAGCTCTCTGCAGCCCTGCCCCAGGCCTCAGACTCCTTCCTATTCCTGGGCACTTTGCACACAGCAGTGTTCAGAGACCCCTATGTTTGTGTCATGGCCTTTTTTTTTCTGTTGCTGTTTCCCTTCAGTGGGCTGAATGCCCTCAGCAGAGGCGGGGCTTCTTGCTCTCTGTTCCATGTCACTGAGAATTTCCCGGGAGTATTTGCTCTCAATCAAAGCATGGACTATGGTGTTTTCCTTAATTGATTGATTTCAAGTGTGTGTTTGTGTGTGTGTGTGTGTGTGTGTGTGTGTGTTTGTGTGTGTGACACTGGAACTTTCTTTGCGTTTAGTCTACTAAAAGGTCTCACTGTCTGGAGAGGTGCTGTTACATCCTGAAGATCTGAAAGTACATGGGTGCTCTGTTCCCTTGCTCCACCTACCAAGTTACAGAAGATACTTGTGAACATCTATGATGTCTGAACCCTAGTCCAGCTTGCTCTCCTTAGGCAGAGGAGAGAGGGCTTCAAGCTGACTGAATCCTGAGTGCTACCTCCGACCAAGCAGAGGGAAACACTAGGCACCGCTGCTTCTCTCACCAGTCTCTGACTCCACTGAGTTCTCTTCCTCAGGCTCTGCCAGTCTGGCAGCAATGTGGGCTCCCAGAATATGCCAAGCTTCCACTCTCATCAGCTGGGGAAGGGGACATTGACCTCCACACTGAACAATGATTTGTACTGGGCCTGTGCAGTACTGGAATCACTCATCTTTCCACACACCATGTATCTTGGCTTTAGCTGATCGTTGGCTCTCGCCGTCCTACCTAGTGACGCCTCCCTCCTCAGTCTCCTCACAGAGCTGTGTGCCTGTTGGCTTGAGCCAATACCCTTGAATGCGTGATTTCTCTTGTGTGAGAAATGCAGTCTACACATAATGGGAAGAGCAAAGGAAAAGAGAACGGAGGGTGAAGCCTAGTGCCGCACTTCTGTAATCACAGCACATGTGTTACCAAGATTTGCTCTCAGCCTGGACTGCAGAGTGAGTTCACAGCCAGGCTGAATTACACAGAGAGATATTTTCTCATGTGCTCTTCAACTCCAAAAGGAGTACAGTCTAGAGCTAGTGACACAAGAGTGACACAAGTCGGTACCCTGACCTCTAGAGGACCAAGATGGGGGATGGTGTCCAGTGTATGAGCTGATCAAATTACAAACAGGCAGGAATTTTAGCTCTGTATGAAACCATATTTAAAGCCAACCACAAGCGATGTAAAATCAGAGAATCTCCAGTTAAAAGAGGTCACATGGTTCATTAGTCTTCCTTGTGGGTAACTATAGTATATGTTTGCGAATACCCAATATGACCACCTTGGTAAAATACACCTGCTCCTGTTAGTATTTGTCCTACAGCGCAGGCAGGCAAGAGAGCTCCAGTTGAGACACAGCAGTCCCAGTTCAGAGGACAAACAACATGAAGGAATATGACAGAATTTATACTAGATATAGCGGGTTTTGTAAGTGTCCAATAAAACCCTCAAAATACACATGCCTGCACACACGTGTGCCCACATGAAGCCAAACCAGATAAATAGAGTCCAACAAGAAGATCAGTAAGTTAAGATAGATGAAGAAATATTATGAGCCTCCAAAGGAAATAGCAAAACTGGGCCACACAGAAATCAGTAAAAAATGAAAGGAATAAAAAAATCATATAGTAACTCCAGGCACTATCCAATAGTTTAATAATAAGAAGGAAGGGAATAGGAGCAACGCGAGGAAATAATAGCCAGTTTTGAGCGATAACAAACTGGTGAAGGCACTGGTTATGCATCAAAGCATCCTGGGAAGGGGAACTGTGAACAGCGCCTGAGCCTAGGCAGAGAAAGAAATGACAAATGTACAACTGTGAAATGAAATGTGACAAATATTCTAAATTTGATTTCAATTACTTTTTTAAAAAGCACTGAAGGAAAGTTATACTAGTTCATTAGTACTGTGTGTGTGTGTGTGTGTGTGTGTGTGTGTGTGTTTTAAAGTAGGATCTACAGGGCGTTCAGCCTTTCACTACTAGATCACACTGGGAGTGACCCTCCTGTTTACAGCCTCCCAGGAGCTGGAGTTTCAGGCACGACACCATTCCCAGTTTCACCAGCCCTGTCAGTGAGCCCCGGGGGCGGGGCCAGCCCTGCAGGCCTGGGGATCGAACCTCGGCCCTGGGCCTGCTTGCAGGCACATTAATCAGCTGAGCTATTTAGCCAGTCCTACTATTTCATTAGTACTTTGAACCACATACATATCTATCATTAATGAGGAAAAGAAAAATATACTGGGAAAAATTGATCAATACCTCTTAAAGAATGTTACAGGGCAGGTTGTTTAATAAGGGCCAGAAGCCTAATTGAACGGTATACTGCTTTCCAACAGCTCTCCATGACCTGGGATCTATGCTAAGCTCAAACCCTGAAAAAATTATTTTAAGTATCATTTTATGTGAATGTATGATATTTTGACTTATTAATTCACAGCTCATTACTTCATGAAGCAAAAATATACACATGAAGAATAATATACTACTGTATAATACCACAAAGTACCGCATGATCTTGCCCTCTCAAAAATTGAAGTAAAACATAAAAGATTATAAACATATTCTGCCTGTGACATGGATGATTACAAAGTTCTTTAAAGTTACATTATAATACATGTGAAATGAATAATGTACTTTCTCATTTAAATTATTTTAAGAAAGCATTGATTGCAACAAAGCATTTTCAATTGGTGAAACCAATCCCCCCCCCCCCGTCCTCCACACGCACATGACGGGGAGCAGGAAGGGTGACCTCTGTCTCACTTGTGGAGGGGGCGCGCCTGGCACTAAGACCCAATGACAGGAGAAGACGAGACCTGAATTACTGAGAAAGAGGAGCCAGACCCAAAGTCTTTTTAGCGACAGGGCAAGTATATTATTTACTCCACCCCAGAAATTCTGGGTGGAGCCACAATTATTGTTTTATATTGAGGCAGTCTATTCTTGAATATTTTGTTAAACTAGGGAAGCTGATTCCTAACCCCGTTACTCTGCAGGGCATGATCCACCATCCGCAAAGTTATTCTCTGCAGTGACCTCGCCTCTAGCGAACTTATATAACAGCATCACTGGCTATCCAATAAGTGTTAGGGAGCAAAGCCACATGGTCCTATTTGCTGCGCTGCTTTGCAGGCTTTTTAAAAAGTCACATTTTGATTACGTAGCACATTGAAGTGGAGCTGATTGCAAGCTTGTTGTGTCACGTTATTACAGAGAAGCAACTTACAGAACATTAACTGACTAGCGATGTAAGAAATGCATTCTGGCTTAGGGGCCGGGGAGACAGCTCAGCGGGGTAAGCACCTGTCTGGCAAGCTCTAAGTCCCAAGACTGAGCTCTGGTATAGAAAAACAAACAAACAAATACATACATATGAATCTTTAAGGGTATGAGTACACTGAGACTATTCAATATTAATGGTTAAAGTAAAAAAAAAAAAGAAAAAGATCATACAGGGAATTGCAGGAATTATGGTAAATAAGCACAGATAAATGAATAACCACCACCCAGCAAGGCTCCCACAAAATGACAATAGCATGAAATGCTGGTTCTTTTTAGCCTTTTTCTCTTTATAAATTATGTTGAATAAAACATTTTTAGAAGTTAAAGGTACAATTCAGAAATGCAGACACTACTATTTTGAGATACTACAGGAATCCAAGGCTTGTGGTGATAACCGGCAACATTAATAGTTTGTCCTGAAGGGTTATGTCCACGTTCTGACCAGAGCACAGGGAGGAACATTACATCCCCTGCAGGTGTGCATACTGAAACTAATTTTTTCATGAAATTACTGTAGATCACACAGAAGCAGTGCTCCAGGCCTGGCATTCAAATTCTGTAATTATGATTTGTAAGCCATTGCCCAGACACTGCTTCTACAGATTTTATAAACAAAACAGACATAAAAATGATGGATTTTTTCACTATAAAGTTGTATAAAATTAAGGTTTGTAGAAATATGCCATTGATATATGATTAAAACTTTGAAAATAGTCTCATTTCCTTTTAAAAAAAAAGCCTTAAAATACAGGAGTTTTTATTTTAGATTTATCACTTCATTCATTATGCAAAATCAAGTATGAACTTGTCAGAAATGTGCCCCAAAATGTCTAAGACACTATTTGATACTAAAAGGCACATGGAGAGTATTAAAACATGAGTTATTTTCAGAATGAGACCAAAGAATTCTCCAGAAGGGGAGTAGGAGGGGAGGGCACAGGTGGACATCTGGAGCTGCTGAGCAGCAGCGTTACTTTAATTGCCCAGAACCAGCTCTTTTCTGCAGATTCTAAGGACAGTGCTCTTCACCTCTCTGTTCCTGAGGCTGTAGATGAGGGGATTCAGCATGGGGATCGCAATGCTGTAAAACACAGAGGCCACCTGGTCCTTGCCCAGGGAGTAGGACTGCTTCGGCTTGAGGTAAATAAAGAGTATAGTGCTATAAAAGACAGAGACGCCCAGGAGGTGGGAGGCACAGGTGGAGAAGGCTTTTTTCTTTCCTGCAGTGGAGTTAATGTTCATGATAGTGGAGAAGATGGACACATAAGATGCACATATGATGACGAGAGACAGTGAGTTGAATGCAGCACACGATAATGTAATTAGTTCATTATCAGAAGTATCAGTGCAAGACAAGGCTAAAATTGGGGAGACATCACAGAAAAAGTGACGGATGACATTCGATTTGCAGAAATGAAGCTTGCTTATGAAAATTACAATCACAGTAGATTCCAACAGACCAGGGAAGTAAGAACCAGCGAGCAGCACATAGCACAGTTTCGAGGACATAACAACTGGATAGCGTAAAGGGATGCAAATAGCCACATAGCGGTCATAGGCCATGGAAGCAAGGAGAAAGCATTCGGCAACAACAAACAATATAAAAAAGTACAGCTGAGTCAAGCATCCCAGGAATGAGATGATCTTGGTGGAGGACACTAAGTCCTGTAAGGTTCTAGGGGTGATGACACTGGAGTAGCAGAGGTCGAGGAAGGACAGGTGAGTGAGGAAAAAGTACATGGGGGTGTGCAGCCGGGGGTCCAGGCGGATGAGCAGGATCATCCCTGCGTTCCCCAGCACGGTGACCAGGTAGATGAGGAGGAAGAGCAGGAAGAGGCCCAGCTGAGTCTCTGCAGAATCTGCCAGCCCCAGGAGGATGAAGTCAGGCACATCGGTGGAGTTCCAGCTATCCATGGTGTCCTGAAGCATTTGTCTTTTAATAAACAATTTCCAAATATTTTGTCAACAAAAATTTTTGTTTATATGAGTTTCTCAAAATTTTTCTTTACTAGTGGACCTAAATATGATGAATCCATTGTAAACAAGAGGGAAAAATTACCTTTCTATGTATACATGCACTTGTCATAGTAGCTTTGTTATTGGTACATGAAAAGTCACACACTGTCTTCGGTATGAAATTCATTTCCGTTATAAATCATTTTCTCCTCTTTTTGTATTTAGGGTAGAGTCTACAGGAACTCCAGGGTCTCAGTGTGTAGATCAGACTCCTGGTGCTCTATCTGTTTACAGCCTCCCAAGTGCTGGGATTACAGGCAGGTGCCAGCATGCCCTGTCTCAATTGCCATCGCAGCATGCCCTGGAGGCGAGGAGCGCAGGGTCGGCCGGGGATGGAACTCCTGGCCCCTGCACCTGCCTAAGCGGGCACTTTATTCTGTTGAGCTATTTGGCAGGTCCCTAAATAGTTTTCATTATTAACACATTTATCTGTGTAGGAAATATTATGGCATAATATTACCAAATGCTTTACACTGGAATAAGAACACAGAGATTACTTATGCTAAATGGCAGTTATGCATTTGCCCCAGTTCCTCCTACATATTCTGACTCCTGAGAACAGCCCTGGGAGGGTGCTCTGCTGAGCAGAACTTGGTGTAGAGCTCCTGAATGCGGATGGAACAACGACTCTGATGAACACTGTGTACTTTGCTGTCTTCTCTCCGATGTTCCCCATGACTTCTCACAGCAACTAATTTTCTCTGAGTTTACTTACGCCACATCAGCATTAAATTGCTTGAAAATATGGTGAGAAAATATGATTTTTTTTGTCTCTCAGAAAAACTTTCATATGTTTTCCAGACTGGCTTGAATTTGCAGCTATCCTCCTACCTCAGCCTCTGGAGCACTGGAATCAGAGGCATGGGCCACCATACTTGGCCTAAAATTGAATGTTTAAAGCTGTTTATGATGGCCATTCTTTCTGGGGAGAGACTGTATCTCAATGTTGCTTGAATATGCATTTCATGGATGGCTAGTGATGTGGAACATTTTTTCATATATTCATTCCTTCTTTAATTTCATCTTCTGAGAAGTGTGTTTTCATCCTGGATGCCCATTTCTGGATTAGGTCTTTAAATTTTGGGGCACTAATGTATTTTATTACTTTATAAATTCTAGCAGAAAAATGTAAAAATGAAGTATACAAAGTAAAGCCATATTAATATGATGAGCTGTAAAAGGCTCAAGTCAACAACTTCTAACATTGCCTGTCCTATGGGTAACCCACTATTATTATTGACTACTGGACTATATTGGAATATTTTGCTGAATTCACTCACCTACAATATTTAAATGGCAGTGGAATACCCATCTCTGACAAAACTAGGCAAAAAAGTGGATACAAATGAAGGACCATTTTGTATCTGCATATTCAAAAATAGTTAGGATAGATATACAGCTACTTTCTCTTAATTCAGTGAATAGAAAGTGGCCAGGGAGATAGCTCATTGGAATAAGCACTTGCCTGGCAAGTGTAAGGGCCTGAGTTCAATCCCCGGTTCCAAAAAAAAAAAAAAAAAAAAAGAAAGAAAGAAAAATTTGTACTAATAGTGTTTGTGGATAGGATATCATGTCTGCATCTTACACTACGAATAACCACTAAGCAGACAACAATATGTAATATATTAATTATTGAAACTGTCCACTAATCAGTTTTGAAAATGGCTTATTGCTATTTGTTTCTCAATAAAATTATTTTAAAAAGAATAAGAAAGAAAAAAATTCTAAATGTTACAAATAGTAGAGGAAAGTCTTTACAAGGAAAAAATAAATAGTTTTGTGTTGTTTTTAATAAGCTGCTTCTCCACCTCGTCTTAGCTGAACCAGTCAAATAACTGCACAAATAATTAATTGTTTTTCTGAAAAATATTACATCTGCCTGAGAAGAATACTCAGATGTGACCCAGGTGATTAAAGGCTGGTTTACTTTGGACAAGAGCGGAAGGGAGCTTGGGGTCACCTGGACATGAACGCCATGGAGATGTGAAGCTGAGAGACAGAGATTTTGGTGAAAACAAACCTTATCTTTCTAAGAAAACACATTTCCCCACCTTTTTGAAGCAGCAAAAGGCAGTATGGATTTTCAGCCCTGGTACCAATGTATTTTTTAAATTGCCCATTGAAAATCAAAATTTCTTTTAAAAATTATACTTTCGAAGTATGTATTTTTATACATGTATTTTTAAAAAGAGGACAAAAATAATGGAAGCATCATTAAAATATTAGGCATGATAAAGAATATCACAAAACAAGATGACAGGAATTCAACAATGTTGCATGAACATAAGTTGAACACTTTCATTTCCTGGACTCAACATGACTTTTTATAGATGCTGACATTATTTCCACTTGGATACAAATGATATCTTTGCACACATTTTTTATAATAGCCGCTGCATTTTATCTCAAATAATTTCCTCCTGTTTTCAGAAAGATACTTACTGTGCCCCAAAGTTGCTGAAAGAATGATACTCCAAGGTCATTTGTTGAGTAATTTATCAACCACAAAAGATTCCTCAACATGAAATTTGTCAATCAAATAGATGAGCTGAGAAACTATGATAGCTTATTTCTTTCCATGGATGTACTTTATTTTTATGTTGTTCAGCTTCTTCATTTTTTTTTATTCTAAGGAAATCTGTGTTGCCCTAAAAATTCTATTCATGTTTTGATTAAATTGAAGGTGTACCAGGAATTTTCCTCTAAAAGAACTCAGGCAGAATAGCGAATGGGGTCAGATGAGCGTCACCTTTCCGCTGGTAGCTCCAGGGCACCTCATATAATGTGCATTCTGCGTAGCACAGCCTTGGCTCATCCTCAGAGAGCAATTTCCAAGGGAGATCTGGCTGGAATTCAAAGAGTCAAAGTCAAGGCCTTAATTGATTTAAGATCCTGTCCTCTGTGCTAAGAAGACAACAATATGCAATGTATTAATTATTGTAACTATACCACTAACCTGTTTTGAGACTGTTAAATTTCTATTTTATCTTTTTTTCTCTTTAAAATGAATAAATCATTTTTTTTCTTTTTTTTTTTTTTTTTTTTTTTTTTTTTTTTTTTTTTTTTTATGGAACCGGGGATTGAACTCAGGTCCTTGTGCTTGCCAGGGACATGCTTATTCCACTGAGCCATCTCCCTGGCCCTAAAATGAATAAATCTTAAAAAAACAACAAATTCAACGAATACTTAGGATGCCAAAAATTAAAAAAGAAAAAAAAGAGAGATGTTGTCTTTTCTTTTAGAAGTCCAACATTTAGAGCACAATCACTTTGCTTGCACTTGTGATACTCCAAGTTCTCCTGACATTCATTTATTTCCTTCTTAAATTGACACGTAGTTATGTAAACATGCTGCAAATAGTGTTTATGTTCAGGCTATGAGCTATGGTTTTTGGTAAGAAACTGGAGGAGACGTTTCCAGCACCCGAGTTACTTTACCCCTGGAACCATGAAGGAAGAAACACTGAACAGTGCACTTGGAAGGGTTTTATACTTGCAGTGTGAGATGGCCATAGAAATGAAGCATACCAGGGTGGGCCAAATAGCTGAGCGGATTAAAGTGCCTGCAAGCAGACCCAGGGGTCGGGGGTCCAGTGCCTGGGCCTGCTGTGGTGGTTCTGCCCCTGGGGCATGCTGAGATGGCAATTGAGACTGGGCATGGTGGTGCGGACCTGTAATCCCAGCACTTGGGAGGCTCTAAACAGATGGGTCACTACAAGTTCGATCTAGTAGTGTGACTCTGAACACACTGTAGACATTTCCCTAAAATACAGAAAAAAAAAATAAGAAGAAAGAAAGAAATGAAGCATACTGATTTGAAAACATTGAAATTGAAGCAGGAAAATAAAGTAGTGCAAAACTTCTTTCATTATTTTTACATATCAGTAATTTCCTTTGCTTTAATTCCTTCTATGAGAAAAACAAGAACAAAAACAAAAAGCAAAAATTAATTTGGAGTGTGAATCTTGTTTGTATATTTACCGAAGCACCAGGCATTCAGTGTCTCCTCCCAGTTCTCTGACCAGCTGCCCTCTGCCACCCTGGCTCTGAGAACTCCTCATGGAGCAGCACCCAGGCATTACCCAGGCTGTGGCTCCCGGGATTCTCTATGGGAGCTGAGTGCTGGCAGGGTGGAGCAGGCCAACCCTGACCTCCCTTGCAGCCATGGGGAGAAACTCCAGTCTGGCTTATCAATGAAGCTGCCTCCATAAGAAGCCAGATTCATAAAATTTATTATTATTTTATTATCGTGATTTTTATATTGTAACAAGAAGAAGCCCACATACTTAACAAGTCTGGATGGTAACATAAAGTTTGGAATGAGCACTGGGGTTATACCTGTTGTGTACTTATACTCTCATAAGATGTCTTAAAAGGAACAATGAGACTTAGCACCTGCTTTAGCAAGTGCAGGGACCAGGGTTCCATCGCTGAGCCCCCATGCCTTGCAGACCCCAACTCTGAGACACTCTAAACCAGTCACCAGTCGGGGCATGAATCAATTCATCCAACTGCAGTGCCAAAACTAAAGAGCAAATCATAAAACAACATACAATTTATACTATGTGTCAAACTTCTCCAACTCTCCTGCTAATTCAGAATGAGGAATAAGGTGAGATCAGGTGGGATTGGCTGGGATGCAGTGGTCTCAGTGAGAATAAAAAAGAGGGCAGCAGTGGGTGCTAAGCAGGTATGGAAGAGGAGGCCTGAGGAACAGAGTGGATGGGAAGCTAAATGAAAAGGGGGAAAAATGGGGAGAGGGAGTCCAGTGAAAACCTCACAGGCAGGTGTTTGCTAGGTGTTAGAGAGATGGGTGCATCACCCTGGAATGGGAAGACCTACACAGACCAGCTGGGACAGCGCAGGAGCAACCATGAGGGCTTGACTGTTCACAAAATA